CCAACCGCCGCACTGTCCCCGGCGCTCCCCACCACCGCGGGCCTCAGCCACTGCCCGGCCGGGGGAAGCCGCGGTCCGGCGCTCACCTGCACGGGTCTCACATCGCGAGCGCGGGGGCCGCAGACGCTTCCGATCCCGCCGCCACAAGCCGACCCCGTCCGGCAGCACCAAGCTCTTCCGCTTCCGGGTCACGTGACATCAGCATACCGCTTCCGGGCGCAGGCGCTGACCCGGCTGGCCTGACGTCACGGGGGAGGGGCGGAACCGAGCCGAGCGCGTGCTTCGCGAGCGCTCGAAGGCGGGGCGGGGCGTCCGCGGGGGCGGGGCTGAGGGACCAACCGTCTCCTCCCCCCTCAGGTGAGCCCCGCCCCCGCGCGGGAGGAGGCGTGAGGCATGAGGGGCCGAGGTGCGGGGTAGCACGTTACACGCGTGCAGCCAGCGCCGTCCGGTAGTAGCTCAGCACAGCCGCAGGTCGCATCGTGGCTTCTTTAAAAGCTGTTTTAAAGGTCACTCCATGGAGCAGACCCCGCTAGGTGCACGCTCTTTTCTTCAGTAACAGTAGGGTAAATAATCCATCCTCAACTCATTGAAGGCATTTTTTAAAATATTGCTTCTACCCTCCTGAGCACACCGGTTTGTACGTAACGTGAAGATGTGCGGGCTTGTCTTGATACCTCGTCACGTGTGCTGACGCTCCCAGAAGCAGTAAGCCTGTCTCCTGACGGGTGAAGTGAGCGAGGTCGTTTTGTGTCTAAAAGCCTAGTCTCGGCCGTCCCGACTATGTACGCAGCTGGTGCAGAAAAGATATTGCCGAGCCAGCCTTGCTCGTGCTGGCTGTCCCCTGGCTTCCGCCAGCGCCTTTGAGCCCACGTGGCTTCCCCGGCAGCCGCCACTCGCACCTGCTGCGCGGGAAGGTTTAAGAACTCCTCCTGGAGGCAATTGTGGAATAACTTGGTTACAAAGAAAGTTTCTTTCTACTTCCTCCTTGGTCTGGTAATGCTGTGAAGCATGGAGGTGTCGAGCTGTTTGGGCTGTATCTTAATACTTGCCTGTTATAACTATTAAACTGCTTTCTATAGACTGTAATGCACATTAAGGAGAAAATAGCTTCACAAATGTCTCTTCCCTGCATTATTAAATAAAAGCTGGTTACGTTTTTCAGACCAGTTTCTGTTGCTGAAATGGAGATTCTCTACTGTTTTCCTGATGGCCAAGAGCCATTCACTATGGTCTCCGCTTACGGAAGTAGAGTCCAAGGTGACTGCACAGTCAAGAAACACCCTGCTAATAAGACAGCATTATATATTTCTGTACCAGTAAGTGGTGGCATATTCAATGGGGTCTCATTTACTTATTCGTGAGGGAGAAATGCCTGTTTGGCCAGACCTTAATTGCTTATTATATATGAAACATCTTGCAAAATGACAGCCTTTCAGGCTTCATCCTACTTGCATTAAACTGTTTCATTTTTCTTTGTCAGCATGTGATTTAGAGCAGGTTTATCGTTTTAGGATTCTGTTTAGATATAGAAAGACCAACATAGTAGAGTTAAACAGATGGTTAACAAGCTGGTCCGAAGGCACTGGTCTATTTCTCTGATGGCCATGGAAAGGGAACAGGTGAAACTGCGCAGTGGGCACAAGCTGTGCCAGTTAGTCTGACCTACAGGCCAGTTAGCCTTACCTCAATCCTGCGCAAGCTTTTTGAGAAAATTATCCTGGCACATGTCCACAATGGGCCGTGGGGGAGATTATGCTTAGGGGCAACCAACATGGGTTCATTAGCGGCAGGTCCTGTCAGACCAACCTGGTGGCCTTCTACGACCAGGTCACCAAATCCTTAGCCGCAGGGGTAGCAGTGGATATAGTCTTCCTGGACTTCCGGAAGGCCTTCGACACTGTCTCTCACCCCGTTCT